TGATTTATATTATCGATTCATTTACTTAGAGAATAACCAATTTATAGCCTGTGCTGCAAAATATATCAAGTTCTGGCTGTCGAAATCAATATGCTCAGAGCAATTCACATTTAATTAGAGTACGTACTTAAAGCCACAGTTCAATTCATCAAATCGTATGCAATGAACATCAATTCTTAGTCTTTGATAGATTTCGATTTTATGGGATTATATCTAGACACTCTATGCATTATATCTAGATGCACTATGTATGTACATATGTATATAAATATTGCTTAAAGTATTCTTTATTAAGCATGAATATCTATTTTAATAATTTGTTTAATTCATACTTAACTTTAACTAAATATTATTTTTATTTAAACTATTATTTTATTTAACATTATTTACATTTATTAATACAAACTTTAATATTGTTTTTTACTATCATTAAAATAAATTTTATATTTATTTAGTCTATATATTTGTTTAAATTTTTCATTTTCCTTTACTCTTTAACTTAATTAACTTTAACTTTTAACAATATCCTTAGATAACTTACCGCTCTTTAAAAATCTTCTTAACTTCTTAAGTTCTTCTACTAATTAAGATAACTCCGTCAAGTTATGAAAAATTGGCTGAAATCAGTTTTTTTCCTTTTTCTGCTTCTTCCTCTTATTTTTGAAATTAATTTCTACGACTTTCTCTGTTTTTCTTCTTCAGCTCTGGCTTCTACTCCTGTTACTAAAGCTAACAAGTCGAGCTGAGTAAATGAAATAGTCAGAAAAAATATAATTTATGTTTAATTTATAAAGACAAATTATAATTAAATTGCAAAAAGTAAATACCAAACCATATGATATTATATCGCTTTTACATCAAACATGCTTACTAGGCACTACGTATGTATATACCACATTTCCTAACTAATATTTCAACTACTTTATAAAATGTTCAAAAGTTCAAAGAAAGGAAAAAAATAACAAGTTTTGAGCACAAAAAGCTGCCTATATTTCTTTATTTCATGAAGCAGAGCATAAATCACTTAAAGATTGCTTAAGACCTATGAAGCATACACACACACACACACTCAGAGAGTGGGTATAGTCTAAGAAATTACCACGCTAACAGCTAGAGCTACGTACAAGAAGTTTTCCACTCAGTGAGCTTTAACTTTGGATGACTCTCTACTTGAATGGAGACTCAAGAAGTGGGTATGTATGGGGCTATGGTAGCCAAGAGGCAGGAGAGTCCAGTTCATTGCAAGCTCAGCTAGCGCTACCCACTAATGATGGGCCCAAATGGGTGAAAAGTTGGGGGTGAGTAGGGAGTAGGCGAGTATGGCTTCTTACCACTCATGTCCCCCGACATGGTCCTTGGCTGGGTTAAACCTGTTAACGTTAAGTTTTCAACCATTGTGAAGCTTGTTGGTCTATAAATTGACTGGTCGTAGCTCAGCTCAGCTCAGCCGTGCGCACTACTTGACCACACATTGGCGCATTGTCACGCGCGCTTTCCCAACCTGCCACACACTCACACAGAGAGACAGAGGGAGTGGGGGAGTGTGGGAGAGGCGGCTACCAGCATATTCATCAATAGAGCAAATGCCACAGTGTTCATCCAATTTCAGCTGAAACTCGACTTGTCGCTGGGTTAACAAAAAAAATCTGTTAAAATAAATCACAACAATTTGTACATTTTCGCCTCGTTGGCCAGAAACGAAGACTCTATATATATATATATATGGTGACGATGATGACGTTGGCAACACACACAGGCATACACACCTACATACTTACACACATGACTAAAAACCAGCAGCTGCTTTTTGGGGCTGACTGAAAAGGACAATGTCTGCTTGGCTTGATTTTTTGGGCTATTAAGTTGTCATTTGGCTGCGGGTATACTTATCTTTGCATCTGTATGTGTGTGCATGTGCGTGTGTGTGTGTGTGTGTGTGTGTGTGTGTGTGTGTGTGTGTGAGTGTCTATTTGAGCACGTGACCACAGCTATCAGTCGGCCGCTTCCTCTGCTCAACTTATGACAACTTTGATTGCAGTCAATTTATTAACAGCTTTGTGAATGTTGCAAAAGCCAGCATTTGACCAGGTAACGGAGCGGCATATATGACATATGCCATGCGAAGGGCGGCATACGGCATGCGGCATGCGTCGTGTGGCAGGTGGCAGCTGTTGGGTGTCGGGATTGAGCATTACAAATGCCTGACATAATTGTTTAACGCCATGTTTTTAATTAGCCGCCACACACGGACGTCAAATACAAAGCTAAATACAAAAAGCATGTCAGCCAAACAAAAGGACATGATAAACGTTTGTGTAGAAATACAAAAAAAAAAGAAGCAAATGAAAAAAAAAACAAAGGCTGCGAATGTTTGCCAGGATGTATGTATGTATATATGCTTAAAACCCTATTACCATGGTAATCCTTTTGACAAATGAATTTTAACATGCCCTCGCACACACACGCACGCACACACACACACCTTTGCATGGACAACTCAATGTCAGTTGGCCCTGTGATAGACGCACCGCGAAAAAGTATGCTATGGAATGTGAATGTGACGGCATATGCGTCTGTCTATGCATGTGTGTGTGTGTGCGGTATGTGAATGAGTGAGGGAAAGTGTGCGCTCATGCGCATATGTCTAGCTTACATGCATGTAAATATGCCTACGCACATAACACAGCATGTGAATGTGCATAACTAACGACACCAGGGCACTCAATTTTCGGTGTCCCTCTATCTATACTAAACTATATAGCATTCATTATATATTTAACCACGCCAACAAGGGCCATTATTTTCTCATATTCTATTATATTTTTATGATCATATATCTACGCCTATATATCTCTATCTCTATCTCATTCTCTATCTATCTCACTTCCTATTTTTCCCTCTTTTTACCTTCTTTATCATTATTTTTCCCTCTCTTTATCATTCTCTAACGCTATCTTTCCATCTCCTGTCGTTTTCCTCTCTTTAACTCTCGTTTTCTATATCGCGCTCTCTCTTTCTCTCTCTGTCTAGCACTATCTCTCTATCTCTCTCTCTATCTATCATTCTCTCTTTCCAATTTCCCTTCTTCACTTTATCTTCCTCTGTCTTGCTCATCTCTCTCTCTCTCTCTCTCTCTCTCTCTCTCTCTCTCACTACTTATTCTTATAAAAAGCTAAAAACAATTTATCAGCTCTTCATTCTTTCGTCTCTTAGGGAATACCCAATATGAGTAATAAATCAAGTGCAATAGAAGTATAATATAGCAGTCATTATTATTATTTTAAAAATAATAAATACAATTAAATAAACAGAATTAATGGCATTACCATATTTAGGCTTCTCACATTCATTGCGGCATCAGCACTAAATTATTAACCAAATATTGAATCAGCAAATGGAGTTACGTTTGTGATCGGCTGGCAGGCGGCACATAGCAGCTGGAGAGCATTCGGAGTAGGTCCTTTGATAACACACACACATATATAATATAGCACACGCGACCCCGCTATAAAAATTCAATAGTCCATGCGAGACTTGAAGCGGGAAGCTCTTTGAAATCATCTACATCATCAATTTTTGCTTAGTTTTTGCTCGAATCGGGGAGCGAAGCTTGGGCACGCACTTGGGTGCTCCCACAGCGGCCAACCAGTGCACACAGTGGGAAGCCAATTTCGGTAGCTTTCTGCTTCTGCTTTAGCCCTGCCAATAGACTCGCAAATCGCATGCTTCGCTGCCAGATGCCTGGCAATAAAATATTCATTTACTTGACATTTGTTGTTGTTGTTGTTGTTGTTGTTGCTTCACAGGATGCATCATTCAAGTCAAGTCCGCGACACGCCCACCACAGCATCGGTTCAGCATTTGACACGCTTTTGGGACTCGCGCACACACCGTCAACTTTTTGCACCCTTCATAAAAAATGTAATTTTCAAAAACATTTGGAAATTTGAAATTGAATTTGCCGCACGCTTGAAGTTCGCTGCTTTGGATCCTCCCAGCCCGTTTCTTACAATCTCCGCCATAACAACTGTATGCAAAGCATCTTCAAGATTACATGGAGGCCCAGCCAAGCCAGCTCCAATACATAAAAGACGAGCCACACTTTTAGGCTGGGGCTTTTGGGGGCTTAGTAGCAGGTGGCAGCTTTGCTGGCCCCTTCCGACCACCCCCAACCCCTGCCTCGACACATTCCTTCTTTTTTTTGCTTTACTGCAGATATGTGGAAAAGTGTAAGTGACATGAAAGGCGCACAAAGCGCAAAAACCTTTAATATCTTTACGCTCTTTGTTTTCAAGCACACTTTGACAAGTAAGTGACTTTCGTCCCCCTATCACCCATCGCCCAACCCCCTCCCTTACCCATCACTCAAGACTCTCAATGACTGCACAACTTCCGCTTTGAAGTTTGTGTCCTATGCGTTTCTTTTGACGCTCCGTTCCAGACCGAAAGCTAAAACTACATCCTTCCGAAAAGCAAACAAACCGGGTAACGCCTTTAAAACAAACTGCCCAAATGCATCCACCCCTCCGCCAGCTTGCCCCATTCCAATGTATAATTTATGACCTATTTATTGTCAATAAATACAGCCTCATAGCGACCATTTCATGCGCTGCGACTAAATAAAGACAAATGAACCTTCAGTTGAGTGGGTGGATCGAGACATACTTTGAAATATATACGTTGTATACGCATAAAAAACAATGGCAACTGAGGTACTATCACACAGCCCAAATGGGCAGTTTTTATACCCTAAACCCATTGAAACCCGGAAATCCGGGTATAATGGTTTGTATAACAGGCGGAAGCAGGGATGAAAGACCCCTTCAACTAGATATATATTCATGATTACATCATATACCCATACGAGTAGGGGACTTATGCAGATTGAACTTGTTTCAACTAATCGATTACTATTGATTATAAACGTTTTCAAAACGCTATTATTATGGTAAATCTCGCACATCTCTGAAGCTGACTGTCCAGACTTTGCATTTAGAGTCACAGAAATTATGTTATAATTTGAAAACCATTCAGTAAACTTATTTTATTTCTAAAATTTTATAATTTTTCAAAATTTTGGTTTTTCTATTGCCATATAGCAAATATTATGGCTGCATTAGCCATTTTAACAAAGCTTATCAGCCTCGTATGCGTATTTTTATTGATTAATGGAGGTAAGCCATTACCACTTATATAAATGTGTCGGAATCGCCCGACTAGGAAGGAATCATCCAAATTATACTCTATAAATTGTGTCTATGCGTATCAACATCAAGCAAATCTATTATTTATTAATCTTAACTTCGCTTATTTTTAAAGCCGAAGCAACTCCAATAAAAAAGCTCTCCATTGACAACGTTCCATATTTGGGCACATTACGCGATGCACTTAAAGAGTCCACTAGAGCTAGCAGTGGATTTTTGTGCGTGGCGACTATTATTCATAATCGTGTGCTTGTCACACCAGCTGTATGTATATATGGGTGGGTATAACCAACTGAATCTGTTAGCTGTTATTATGTGTTATTATGAGATTATTTTCTACAGACAAAGACGACAAGATCTGGTGGTTGTAGTGGGAAATACGTTCATTAGAGGTGTCAGTCCAACAATGAAAGTGTTGGCTATCGAAACTTGGAGATGGCATGCACGGTATAGATTTGGGGAAATGGCATACAATATTGGATTGGTCTTCACTGCTCGCGATATAACGCCCAAACATGGGGTTATCGCATATGCTGCCATTAACAGAAGCAAATTAATACCGCATACCGAATGTTTATTCCTTGGATGGAGTAGAACTTCTGTTGTAAGCGCATTAATAATTGTGTCCACTATATTGGAACATGTTTACCGATAACCAATTGTTTTTTTTTTATTTTTTTAGAACTCGAAACTAATGATGAACCCTCCGATTGCATTTTTTGCATGGAATACCTTCAATATAGATTGCTATAAGATCACTTCTACTGCTGGTGTGATGTGCTCCTACGTACCACATATGAAGGAATTTAAAAATAAAACTGAAGATCTAGGTAACCCGATAATATGCAACGGTAAACTTTCTGGTGTATTCCTCGAAAGGCGTGGGGAGATCTCAACGTATATAGATATATATTCATTTAGGAAATGGATAAACGGAGCCATTTACATCCATTTCCATTCAGCCACATCGCCTCTTCGATCAATTTGCTGTCGGTGGCTTTTTGTGTTGGCCATTAGCATTTTTTTTATCTTCAGCTAACAACGTGAATGTGTATAATTCCCATATATGATTTTAATTTTATTTTACATAAATAATGTTGTACTGTATTCTGAACAAACCTATGAAAGTCCTTGCAGCACTTCCAACTGGATCAGTGTTACTTGTTCCTTTAATTTTGTATTGAATATTATTTTTAATTATATTTAATATTAATATGAGTGAATGAATACACTTGTATTGGGCTAATAGGACCATAAGAAATATTACTGCGGTGGTGTTCTGTGTTAGTATTGATCTTTACTCTTATCAGCATGGATATGTATGACCAGACTCTTGCCTAAAATCCATCTCTCACCATTGGTCTATTGCATATTCTGGCCGTATCGTCTCTAACATAATAGTCATAATGTGATCATAGACTTGGAGCCATAGCTCCGCTGTTCGTGTAAACATATATATATATATGTCATGAATACACACATATGCTCTGCGACTATACCATAGAGCACTGGGGTATGATCAATGAAAATAAAAAGTCAAAGTGTAGAGAAAGTACCTAAACTCAAAACAAGTGAAACTAACATCAACGGACATTGAGGTAGAGCAACAGACATTGAAACAGGGACTTCGTTAAAAAGACATTCAGCGACAAGAATATTGAGGGACCTTCAAGATATCCCAAGAGGTTATTTCAAAGACCCCATCAGGAAAATAAGTCCTACGAAAAAATCTAGGATCATCTAGGCAAAGTTCGCGATGACTTTCTAAATATGTAATTAATTCGTTCTTTGTTAGGTCTCAGTATAGGACTTGCAGATCGAGTCTGCTTATCTATTAAAAACGGTATCAAAATTCAGTTATTAAATTATATCCCGCACATCTTTAAAGCTAATCTCTGAACTTTTCATTTATAGTCATACAAACTTCATTTTTATTTTGCTTTAAAATTTGTTTAGTAAATTTAGTCAATGGAATTCTTTTATTTCTAATTTCTTTTTAATTTTTCAAAATTTAGGTTGTTTGTTTTGTTTTTATAAAACAAATATTATGGCAGCGTTAGCCATTTTAATAAAGCACATCAGCCTGATATGCGTATTTTTATTGATAAAAGGAGGTAAGCCATAAGAATACCAATTGCACAAATGGTTGGGGTTGGCCGACTAGAAGAGAATCTGAACCCTGTCGATTGGCGTATTCGACTTTGCGTTGTAGATTGTATCTATGTTTTATACCCTGAACCCAATTATACCAGAGACTCAACAAATATTTAATTGTTATTATCACGCTCTGGCCGTTTGATGAAGATAGTACACCTCCCTACAAAAGAGTTCTTTGTGTGTGCATAAAAAAACTTAGAATGATCGGATATCAGCTCTTTGCAGGGATGTTGACGTTAAGGAGTTTCCATATCTGGGCACCCTGCGAAAGCTCAAAGAGGAGTCTCAGGTAGTTGGCAGTGGATATGTATGTGGGGCGACTCTTATTCATAATCGAGTGTTTGTCACATCTGGTGAATGTATACACGGGTATGTGTGTACCTAGTTGAATCTTTTTAGTGTTATTCTGAATTGATTTTTTGCAGAAAAAAACCAGAAGATATGATAGTGGTAATAGGGACTACGCTCATGAAAGGCTTACCTAAAACAATATTAGTTCTGAAAATCGAATATATGAGACTGCATGGATTGTATGTGTATAAAAAGCATAATTACAATATTGGATTAATCTTCACTTCTGAGGATACACCACCCATTAAGGACGCAATCGGATATATACCAATAAACAAGAAAAGAGTACCACCGCATACCAAATGTTATATTATCGGCTGGGGTGTAGCTGCTAAAGTAAGTGTATTAAGAATTATATTCCCTATATTATAACATGAACATAACAGGAATCACTTGGATATTGATAACCAAACTAATTCATTACCTTTTCCTACTTTAGAAATTGCGGAGCCGTCCAAAATTAATAATTAATTGGAGTGCCGGTGCACTTACGTGTTATAAGACCACCCGTAATATTGGGTTGTTATGCACCTACAGATATAAGAGGTCTAAACCGGACCATTCTGATGCTGGTACCCCGCTAATATGCAACAATAAACTTGCGGGTGTATTCATCACTAGGGGTTCCAATAAGTTTCATATATTTACAGATATTTATAGTTTTAGAAAATGGATAAACGGAGCTATTTACCTTCACTTCAAAAGTGATAAGCCATTGATGATCGAAACCTCATCGATCGAAGGATCGATTTGCTCCCCGTGGCTAGTTGTCTTGGTCGTTAGCATTTATTTTGTCACCTAGTAGTCATTTATAATAGTTACCTAACCCTAAAAACGCAAATCGTGATTCCTATAAATAATTTTAATTTTAGTTTTACATTAAACTTTTTTTTTTTAGCTGTTTCCTGAACAAGTCGTTTAAGTTTTACAACTTTATATATATATTTATAATTAATATTATTTATAATTAATTCACTCACCTACCTTTATAAACGCCCGCTGCAAATGTTTGGCAAGGCTTAACCACAATATGTAGCATCCTTACAGGCGTTTAGCGTAGAAAACGTAAAACAGGAAAATAGAAGCCACGCACTGCGGCTTACAAAAAGTTAAAATATCCCTTTAAACGATCCGTCGTTCAATGCATAAGTGTGTCTGTGTGCGTGTGTGTATCTAGGTAAAATGGCATCAAATATAATAACGACCACAACAATGCGTGACATGCATGCAAAAATTGTTGGCCTTAAAGTGTGCATTAGCTGAAAGAAGGTATGGGTGTGCGTGTGTGGGTGTAATCTTTTTCAGACACATACGCCAAATCACTTTCTAAATGCAATGCCAATAAAAAACCAGACCAAAGTGTTGAAAAAAATAAATAAATAAATATATGTATATAAATATATATTCATATACATACGTATAAGGGCTGTATATTTGTACGGACGCAAATATAATTTGATGCTGCTGACAGAAGCGTGTCGCAACCCGAGGCAAGTAGAAAATGAGAAGTGAGAAATAGATACGCTACGTGACAATAGCAAAGCGGAACTGCTAACCTCCTATATACATTTAGAGAAACTACAGCATTAATATTGGCACAGATTAAAAAGTTTTTACGCAATTTTTGGTACAGAAGTTTGAATATAATTATAAAAAATAAAATAAAATTATTTAGAATATTTCAACTGATATGCAACAAATATATAGAGACGAGCGCATGGAAAAGTTTCAAGTAGAGGATTGAAAGCTTTGATGATATTATCGTACCATAAAACTTGTTAATCCCTTACATTCCTAAAAAATTATATTATACCATATGCAGTGAAGTTTAAAAGGGTATAAAATTGCTCATAAATAAACTATTTCAATATTCCCATATTCCATTATTACCAGTTATTTATTTCGTATGTAAGTCCAATATTTATTTTGGGAAAACATGAAAACGGAACTTTTGGAACATTAAAAAAAAATGTTGAATTAATATAAACCAACCAAAAGGACGATTCGATTTCCTGATCAAGAGTATATATGCCCTTTTTAGGTATGCCACGCCTTCTTCTGCCAGTCACAGACACACATTGAAAAAAAGGCTATTTAAGCTGATTTTCTATTCTTGATGGTAACGGTATAACAAGTAACACATTTTATTGCATTTAAATTGGCATTTATTCGTCAAAATGGGCGCCACACAGCTGCCATCTGGCGGGCAAATAGTGCAGCTCAGCAAAGCTTTCAGCTAAAAAGTTCACCAGTGAAAACTTTAGGGAATCAGGCACTTGGTAAGCTTTTTTGCGCTTCTTAATTTTAATTTTTTTTTTTATGACTTCAACTTAAACTAAAAATAAAACATTTGTTGCAATTTTACATAAATTTACTTAGAAAAGACGTTTGGGCACGACACGAATCCAAATCACTTATGAATTACACTTCTTCGACTACTTCCGTGGGTTTTGCGGCATCGACGACTTCATTGAGTTCCGCTGCGTCATTGACGGGTGTCTTTTTGATCTATGGAAATCATAATGCGAGCTTTGAAATAATATTGCTTAGCAGATTTTCCATTTGCTGAATGCATTTAATACTTATCGGAACATGCAATTAGTGTTCATAGCACATGCACATGCAGGTTTGCAGCTGCCTTATCATGCTTTATCATGCATACCAGATTTTATATCAATGTTTATACATATCTTGATCTATACATATTTAGTATATATAAATATATATTATATACTTAGATAACTAGGTTAGTTTAAAATAAGATTTCTTGGGTGGACTTTACCATTACATTGATGCGGCGCATGAGAGAGATAGAGAGCTTATATACTGACAGTTTATGGATCACTTAAACTTAGACCAGAGCGAGGCGAAATTGAATTTTGTAACACCCAACATTTATATCACATACAAAATGGCCAACCATTTGCAACCAATCGGTTGCTTAATCTTTTTGTTGAAATTTGTTCTTTGTTGAAGTTAGTTATGTAATTAGTTTCAATGACTTTTCAGGAATTTGTTATTCTTCTGGAATGTATGTTCAACGAAATTGCTGTCATATTTTCTTACTTTGAAGCAACGAATCTTGAAGTGGTCACACATTTCCGAGACCTATTGGATAGAAGATAGCAATATGATATACAATTCTTATGTAATATCTGTTGTCTTCACTTACCACACCATAGCCATAATGCCAATGGGCCAATGTAACAAATATTGTTAAGCCATGAACGAGCCAGCGCTCACCCTGCGCTGTCAGATCCGTGCCCAGCACCTCCTCATACCAGGGAAAGCAGCAGACGCCCACGGTTGCCACCAATGGCCACATAAGTATATTGAAGCTATCGCAACGCGTATCCGACATTTGGGCCACGATCAGGCGGCACTATTTAAGATTAAAATTTAGGCAACTTGTAACCGATTCAATAGACTTTAAACTTACTGCAATATTGGAAAAGATTGTTCCATAGAGTATCCACAGTATGCGCGGTTCCAGGTTAATAACATTATTGCGTGAGAAAAATGACCAAACGAGCGTTATCACAAACAACCAGAGGAAGGCGAAAAATGGGCGCAACATCTCCATCATGGGACGCATTTTGCCCGTCTTATTCTTATAAGAGCTGCAAGAGTTAAGATCTTTAGAATCAAGTAACGATTTCAAATCGAATACAAATATTTACAGATATATATTCCGTATAATAATGGGGTGGCTGGACAGAATGCCGGAGCCAATTAGGCCAACCTCGAATACATTTGCCACCGTAATGCCGTAGAAACTCGAGCGATAGATTTCAGGACCCACGATCGTGGCCACGAACAGCATTAAGCTGACGCCCTAAAATCAAGCGAGATATTGTTACAACAGTTTTTGTTTAACAGTTGATGATGGTTTATAACAGATTAAATAAATTTTTAGGTTTTTTTTTTTCATATGGACAGTATAACAGCTATTGACAGTTTATAGTGGTTTATATTAGATTATAAAAGTATGAATCAACTGTATAACAGTTTTAGCTTATTCATAGTTTATAACATTTTAAATGCGCTTTACAACAGTGCATATCAGTTTGAAAATGTTATAAATGTTATTAACTTATAATTATATAGCTTATATTAATTTATAACAGTTTAATTGAATTTAATAAAATGTATAAAGTTTGTAATAAAGATGTTACGTCATATTTTTAAACAGGTTTCATATATTTTATATGTGTGTAGAACAGTTTGAAGTGTATCACTTGCAATAGTTTATAACAATTTATACTTCATTTGGTTGCACTTACCCACATGGTAAAGTCGTAGCCCCATGGCAAAAACATAACACCCGTATTATATTTTTCTACATGTGTGAAATAGAAATTGAGAAATACGTTCCATATAACAAAATACATGCGTATGGGCGGCAGATCTTCGGTGCCAAATAGGGAAAATATATAGATTGGTATAAGTGCCGCCGAATAGGAGTCCAAGCCATGATCGAAGAGCTCTCCGAGCGGACCACTCGTCCCTGTGCGACGAGCCTGTTTGCCATCCATGCCATCTATAACAAGTTTACAGCTTAAATCAACTCTGAGATTATTCTTCTTGGCACACTCACCCAAATTGTAGTAGATAAGTATATTTATGGCAGCCACGGTCCACACCCAGCCGGGCACTGTATTGCCCACCGACTTATCATTGGCCGCCTTAAAGTCCCAGTCGTAGTAGGCTAGCAGTAAGAAGTTCACCACGGTCATGAGGAAACCCACGAAGGTGAGTAAATTGGGTGCCAACCATTTTGGTAAATACTATATAGAGAAGATCTGTAAAAATCTTCGTAGGGCTTCAATTTGATAGATGGCATACCTTTACGCAAGCATTCCAGAAGGGATGCATAACATAGACGCTCAGAAGGCTGGTATCTATGCTATTGTACTGGATGAGAAAGATAACAGACATGTTAAATAATAGATCACAACTTAGTATAACTAATATATAAACAGTCAATACTCAGCAGTCTACCATTGAACCCAGAAATAATTCTATTTGATATCTCTCATAAAGCAGCCCTAAGCGAATTTTTTTGAAAACAGCTTTGCTTAATCACCAAACTATTTGTAGTTGGAAACCTAAAAATATGTTTTTCTGTCTTTCTCAGAAGCAAACTTTAATATGGGTAAACTAAAATGTAACACCTGTATACGTTTAAGCTCAATTTAAACAAATGAAAAGTTTCGAGAACACTGAACACTGCTCTCGAACATGACATGGACATAGATAGATTTATATGATAGATGGATTAAATAGATTCAGCTCGTAGTGGTGATCAAAATTACATATACATTTTACATTAAACTATTATTAACTAACCTCTATAGAGCATCAAATTTTTTAATAAGTCGTAACTAAACAAACCAAACGTCCAAATAAATAACATGTGTAAACGAATGAGTTATAGAAGAACATGTGCTTCAACAATTAGAGTACTTAAATGACATAAAATTATTTACTATATTGAAAGAGCTAATAATATCAGCTATATAACTAGTGCTAATATTTATATACATTTCAGTGTAATCTAAGACCCTAATATGTAAGTTGATATATATTATATAAATATTTTGTAATAAAAACCAACTTATGACTCTACAACAAGCACTTTATATAAGTATTATTACCAAAGTCTACTGATTTTCAGCATATCAGCATTATATTATACATAGAGCTATATATAATATTGATTTTGCAATCGGCAATTTTCATTTCTGTATGTATTTGTGTCACTCTCTTTCCCTCTCCCCTTTGCTGTGCCTCACTCCCTCACAGTGGCTCTATCATTTATTTATAGGTTAATCTGCTGTGCGAATTCTACTCGATCTGTCAACCCGGGAACTATCTCTCTAAAGACAGCACATGCTTTATTTGCAGTTCAATGCCTTTTCTGCGGAATTTACGAAACGAAACAGCAACAAAGTCCATCCGGTCTATTAAATTGATGACCTAGGCCTAGTCATGCCTAGGGCCGATTTGATAAGCCCACGAGAATGCTAATATATAGAGCACATGCTAGTTAGTGACAGTGACATTGACAGCAGCAACAAATAGATCTTCCCATTGCCCAATTCTTAGATTAATCATGCGATCCTCTCCATACTACATACATACATATACACATATGTGTATGCCTACATATAATCTAAATATATTTATAGCACACTAACCGGAACTCATCGTAAACCTGATAATAACTGATTGGCTTTGTAATAAAATTGATTGAATGCTAGAGGCGCCTTTCAAATATACATGGCACATTGATTTTTCGTATAGCTTCTGGTTGGGGTTCGTGCTGCAGGTGAGCTTCAGTTGGTATTTATTTGTATGTTTGTAGTGTAGACCGGTCAATGCTCACCTTGTAACGCTCGAAGCCCTGCAAATGGGTTGCCGTCAAATAGCGCATGCTGGGCATATTGATTCTGTTTTGCTATATGTGTATGCTTATATGTATATAGGCTTTTATTGCAATGATAAGAGTCGAGCACAGTTATATTATTATTGATATAATTATGACCTTTGCCTGTGGGGTCAAATGCAAGCAACGGGCTTCGATTTAAACATTTTATGAAACGGTTTTCGTTGAGAAATTTCAGCAGCTGTTTACAACCGGCACGCACTTTTCTTGGCAAATTAAACTAATGTTTCTGCTTCTTCGGTTTTATTATATATATATTTTTTAAGCACAAACCATAAATTAAATAATCGTTTATATAGACACACGGGATGCCGTTCGCCTGCGGTTCCCGTTGCTCCACTTGCAATTTCTTTTATAGCTTTTGTTGTAGTTGTTGTTGTTGGCACGCAACACGCAAACAGCCGTTACTAACATATGTATATAACAGTTCTTTATATATGTATATACTTAGGTATATATAGAAAAAGCGAAGGCACTTGTCAGACAATGACAACGCTCTGCGACTGCCTCGGCACTGTGTATTATCAAGACTGAAGACGAACTGCTCACTGGCTGGACTGGCCGGCAGCTCGAGCGCAGCCCAAAAATATTTTTATTATTATTTTACTTTTTTTTAAATCAACTAGGAATATTACAGTCGCTTGCCAACGACTGCGTTATACTCTATATACATATGCATGCCGGTTTACTAAGGCTTATAGCTGTCTAGACTGCGGTGCACTTTGTGTCGTTGGTAAGTAAACGACGCATTGACGTAAGTGGGCGTGGCTGTAAGAGAAGTTAAGCTAATGCTTAAATTAGCTCTGCAAGACATTTTGAGGCCACACTCTACAGAGCGTAGCAGTCATCCACATACTCTTCCATGCATTGAGCGGCGTGAAGTGTATACAAAAATCCAAGCGCTTAATTTAGAACGCTTACTGCGGCTGAGCTTCGGTCGTTCGCTCTGCTTTTCACTAATCCCATTGCACACATTGTTATCGCACAGTTTGCGCCTCTCTTTAAAATTCAGACAGACACACACACTCACTCACACACTCGTACACAGCAAGAGCGAGTGAACGGGAGGCACACACACGTACGCACACACATGTATATGGGAATTTGCATTGAATGAATTAAAATTTGTAAAAGTCAAACAAGTGCTTGTAGTAGAAGAAGGGGATTATTGGTTATCAAGTTGTACTCTACACTGATAGTCGCAATCTCTGGAGCAAAGTATTAAGCACATACATAGGTTGCATAGCGTACAAAACCCTAACAAAATAAAAGAGAATGATTGTGACTGTGGGAACTCTGGTGCTACTTGGTTAGCCTAATTAAATACATATACAATACATATATGTTTTATAAATGTATGTATTTACTTAAACATTTATATTTATGTATTTCAAATAGTTCAAGTTCAACTGATAACCCAAAAAAAATGAAGCTAACGGGTTGTCAAGTGATTAACAAATTGAGAACACACTAAACAAAAACAAACAAAATCTATTAAAAGAAACATAGAGATTAGAAGCGAATATGATTTAAAAAATATTATAAAGTAAAATCAAGAGGTTTTAGAATAAATTAATTAAGAAAACGGGGTTGTTTTTTACAAGCTTTTAAACTTTGTTTTTTATGAATGTAAAAAAAAAAAAAAAAAAAAAAAGCATTTATGAAAAATATAGAATTTCCCAAAATATATCACTCTTATTTGAAAAATTGTTAAAATAGAAACTCTATTTTGTTGTATGAAAATATGGTAGAATGGACTTTGTTATACGAAAATGTGATAAACTACATTCAAAAGAGTTTCTAAATGAGTTTCTATACACAGTTTTTAAAAATTTTGGTAAAGTTGTTTAATAAATTTTATGTGAATGGAAAAAGCTACTTATAGAAATTTGCAAAATATCTCAGTAAAATATGGAAATTGCTAAACTCTATTAAAATTTTTCTCAAAAATTTTACAAACATTCTTAATAAGTCTAAAAAGTTTATTAAACATATGTTTTGAGAACTCAAAATTTAAAATTTTAACAACACTACATTCGGATCTTGAACTTCTCAAAGTATATTACTATGAAATGTCCTTCTAACCCAAAAAAGTACAATGCTGGTCAACTGAATAAATTTGATTTTTGTTGAATATTTTCAACATCTATTGCATATATATTAAGCTGAACCAGTGTTTTTCAATCCAATTTCCACAATTCATCGATGAATATTTCGGAATTGTTCGCAACACAAGAAATCGCAACACAAGAAATCACGCTAGATACAGTCATACATATAAAACCATCGCTCATAATTAATTTTTAAAGACCAGGAAAAAAACTGATAAAAATATTCCATTCTAAGCAACAATTTTAACTGCAAGAACTAAAGGCCTTGGAGTTTACATTTTTTTGATTAATCACAAATGTCTACAAAATTTATTATAGAAATTTCGAACGTTATTAATTTCCTGCCTCAAAACGAAACTCTAGTCATAATACATATCTATACTAATAAGTATACTTTACTTACTTTATATATGTATACAGATAACAGGTGCAGTCTTATCTAAATTTAGCATGACTGAAAATATAATGAAAACAACTTTATGCTTATAAATAATAAGAGGAAACAGATTAGAAATATAAAATTAAAGTGCAATAGATAACGTCATAGAGCTAAGGGAAAATTTGTCGCAATTTCGGCTGTTTTTGTATTTAGGGATTACTAGTTGAGCCATCTGGATGTCTCTGTGGCAGTCAGACCCTCGGAGCGTAGTCGCTGCAACATGGGACGATAGATGTCTGGCGTGAAGGGCAGCAAAACACCGCGTTCCTGGATCTCACCTGGCATTACGAGTAATACAAATTGCAAATTTAGTACAAAATATTCCTATATAGTCTATGAAACATTACTTACCATCCAATATCATTTTGGCTGCAATTGCTGCCGGCTTGCCCACTGTCATGGCCATGGCGGAGTGTCCTTGGGGCTGGCCATAGACCACGAAATTGATGCCGCGCTCCTCGCGACGACCGTCGGGCCATCGAATGCCCACCTCGTGACGCAGAATGACCAAGTCACGCTCGTCACGCTCTGCAAGGGAGATTCAGTGAGGCCCAACCACTTAAAAGCCAAACCCATTATCACTTACCGAAGGCCAAACGCTTGGACAGATAATGACTAAGCGTGTCCAGCGGCGAGTGCAGCTTAACCACTGGCGTCTCGTCCAGCAAGCCCAGACTCTCAATGCCATCCACGTCGCCCAATCGTTCGACTAGCTTCTGCTTGAGGTTCTCGTAGAAGATGCTCGTGTCGGACAGACCAAGCAGATGGGTGACTAGCTGTCGCCAGGTGACATCCGGTCCGCTGGGATGGAGCAATGCATTTGGCTCCGGATCTATGAGACCGAGCAGCTGCATTGGCTTAATCGACTCCGAGAAACCCTTGTAGCGTATGGTGCCACGCAGCAGGGTATGCACATCCCGGCTCAGTCCATAGAGTGCGCCGTATTTGGTTGAATCCCGATTGGGGAAACCCTCCAGGGCGAAGCCAGGCAAGAAGTCCAAGCTACGCGGATTGGACATTAGCTCGCCGCCGCCAGATATCTCCACAATCTGGCCCTGGCTCAAATACTTCGCGGCGGACAACGTGTTGAGCAACACGCCCCTTGGCGACCAGGAGAACTTGTAGCGGAGCGCATTGTTCGAGTGCTCTGGCGCAGGCAGGCCGCCACAGTAGCTGACAAAGGATTCGACAACGCCGCCCTTCTCCTGCACTTCATGTATGCACTCCAGCGCCAGCAGATGATCGATGCCCGGATCCAGGCCCACCTCGTTCATGATGGTCACCCCGTTGGCACGCGCCTCCTCGTGCAGTGCCGAGATCTCGTCGTTCAGATAGCTGGCGGTCACCATGTGCGTCTTCTCCGCCACGCAGTAGCGCGCTATCGTGCCGTGGAGACAGTAGGGCAGCAGAGAGACCACCACATCCGCCTTGCCGCACAGCTCCTGCAGATGCCCGGTGCTCTCGTGCACATCCAAATAGACGCTGTCAACGCCGGCGTATTGTTGAGCCAGACGATCGGCCTCGTCCTTCACCTGCGAGCAGACCGTTATGCTTACGTCCTTCTCCCGGTGCAGCCACTCGACCAGCGGAGCCGAGACCATGCCAGCGCCTAGCACCAGCACCGTCTTATGGGACTCGGAACGGCCTTCCATCTTGTGGCGGGAACGATTGCTCTGCGACTCGCGCAGCTCTCGTATGTACTGGAAGCTCTCGGTCAGCTCTCCATTGCTGGCGATGATTGCCTAAGAGAATGCCAAACAGAGGTTAAGAGAGAGAGATTGCAAATGTACAGTGAGCAATGAAATAATGTGCACACTTGATAACGCTATGACTGATAAGCTAGAGCAGCATATGAGCTGAGCAAATAAGCGAGGGAGATTTGAGTAGTTCGTCGGTTTGTCAATATTTCATTCCATTAAGGCCTTCTACTTAGCTCTTACTTACCGACTGTATGGGATAGGTGAAGCGTTCCTCGTGCAGCGGCTTCTTGGCATCGCTCTTGATGATGTCGTGCACATGGGGCGTCAATAGCTCACCGAACAAGTCCGTTGATTCACGTGGCAGCTGGGTGGGCATATTATCAATGGAGCAGACCAACACGCCGGGACCCTTAAAGCTCTTGGTGTCCTTATTGCGATCCGCATCGTATAGGCAGAAGGGCGTGTCGATGGTGGTGCACTCGTTCATGAACTCAATGGAGCCGCCGGGATCGGCGGAGATGTCACAAATGGCGAGCATGCGATGCGGCAGAGCTGGGCTGCCTTTGCTCGTGGGTAGCCAAGGTGTATTGGCCGGGCGTAACAGATTCTTGGCATCCGGAATACTGATCAGCTTCGGGCTGCCCACGGCCCAGTAGATGCCATTGACAATGACCGATGCGTATGCAGCGATCTTTTGGCTAAATGTGGAAATATAACGTTCGGGAAACTCATCGTACTCCTTGGCATCAAAGCCGCCGCCTTCGCGACGCTCCAAATGATCCGAACGGCTCACCTCACAGCCGTATAGCTTATTTGTATCTAGATAAGGAATGGACATTTCCTTAGATCTCACTCTTCTCTTTCTTTGCCTCTTCAATACTTACTGCCATGCTCAGCTACCTTGCGCAGCATCTCTGGCGGCACATATTCTATGGGCAGATCGGAGAACACCTCTTGCGCCCCCTGGGACACATTGCCCGAGCCGGTGAACACAAAGGTCAATGGACCGATTGACTTGGGCATCATGCCCAATGAAATCTCGTACCCACAGTCACGAACCGCCTGCCGAGCCATCGAGGAGTTGCGATAGTTGTGGGCGGGTCCGATGTGCATGAAGGGTGTATGATGGCCCAGTGCCAGCAGGCGCAATCCAATGCCATGTAGGATGTTGACCATGCCTGCCACACCGGCATACTTACCAAACGCCACCTGGCGAGCGCCGCGCTCATCAATGATGCGCTCATAGTCAATAAGACGGATTTTCTACGAAACACAAGTTGCAACAGAATTGAG